CTATATGTCTGTTTTGGTACCAATACCGGAACGATGTTTTCTTAATAGAAAATGTGAACATACCACAAAGCTCATTCCTGAGTTTTCCCCTCGAAATTTTCCGTTGCCTCTCCCTGGAATACTTTCTGCCTTTTAGGTGTGAGATTCACTCTGGAGACGGTAGTAAAATTCTCACTGATAAGGAGCGCTGGGCCATCCTTGTGGCTAAAGCAGCTGCCTTAGTGGTGTCACTGAGAATCACGTTCCTTTGATACCCCCGTAAAATAACACTTGCTGCATCTTCACTCCTTTGTTTCATTTTTGATGCAGAAACTCCCTGAAAAAAGTCTTAACGTTCAGTTTTCTTATCAGTTAACTAATGCCTAACACTATATCAGGATCAGCTGATGGACAGTTAAGGGAAAAGAAAATAGACACCTAGAAACAGGGAAAAGCAGAAGAACTTGAGGTACCAGGCAGAAGAACCCAGGAGTGTTAGAAAGCAAAGGGAGTGTTGAAGTCTGCTGTCTACACACAGGTGCACACACCCCAATACACGAGGCCCCTGGGGAGTATTCAAACACGGTGGTCTTAAGGAAGTCGACTTCCAAGCAGACTGTCCTCAGACTACCATCCCTGAGGGTTCACCTGTAAAGGATCCCAGCTGCCATTTCAGATGCTCTGCCCTCTTGGCAGAAGAAGAGTATGCCTCTCAGCCATTAGGCATCTCCAAGATGCCAAACAAAGGGACAATTCAAAATATTGGTGACAAGAAGCCTCTTTTAATCAAGGCATCTAGAGCCCACAATAGGGCTTTTTCTCTTTCCCTGATATGTACACATTTTAATAAGGACAAAGGATGGCGTTGGAAATGAGGCATCTGGGCCTCTATTGGATCTGTTAACTCTGATATGTTTAGTGTGTAACAGAGCAGTGGCAGCTCTGGGCTCCCCAGAAGCACAAAAGTAGCAGCAACCAAGACCTCTTTTGGCTTAGGCACAGGACTGGCACAATGTCATGTGGTTACAGTGAGACACAGGGCAGTGTGGGAGGGTCTACAAAAGGGTGTGAACGAATGCATGGCTCATTGGCAGCCATCTTTGAAGACCAGCTAACCCAGTAAATAGTCCCTCAGCTATCTGAATAATTAAAGAACGCTGGATGGATCTAGAAAAGCTCTCTCACTTCGACAAGTTTGCCCATAATTTCAATCGTTGGAAAATTTTTTGAGTTTCCCAAATACTTTAAGAAGATTACATCTGTTGATCCATCACTCATTCATATAAATCACATTCTAAAATAATGGAGGTTCTGTTTAGGAGTCACCTTTATGTTACCTTTGGCACTGGTTGATTCAATCACTGGCCCTCCTTGGCCCCCGGAATTTCAGAGCCAGTGGAACTTTAGAATAATCACCTTGTTTTGAGACAGCAAATTTCATCCTGGTACAATTTTGGTCCATTGCTGATAGCACCAAATGTCTACTTAATAGAACTGTGGGGACTAGAACCAGGTCTCTTGATTTCCAACCAAAAGTTTTCCCCCAAACAGCAGATTGCCTCTGTTTGGGTTTCTGTTTTTTGTAAATAAGAGTTACAGCCAAAAGATTGGGTATGCTTGTTAAAAGAGTGATGGATCTAAAAACTTCTTTAATTTCCCTTTCCTCGATTTTGAAGTAAACATAATAGTTCCCAAGCCCTAGAAGTTTACTTTTTAATAAGTGTTCCCCTCCGCTGTTGCAGAGATACAGTTAACTACTAAAAAGTCTGAAATCTACGCTTTTTCTCTTTTTGGATATGGAGGTGAAATGTATTTTGTTTTTATTTTTGCTCTGTACAACATAGAGAATGCCTTTGTTTCAGACTGAAGGTGATAGAGATTTCAATCTCGTAGTTCCTTTCATTTCTGAATTCCAGGTTTGAAACTGGTAGCAGATAATAAATTCATAACTACCCCTAGTGCCCAAATGTCCTTCCATCACGGTGGCATCTGGCTTCCAGGACTTGTCTAAGTAGAAGCCCACAAATGGGCAGCAGAAGCCAGGACTTGGTGCACGAGCTTGAATCTAACCCCTTTGACAAGGGTTTTATCCTCTCAACTTCATTCTCATGTGTTAAATAGGAAACTTTCAGAGAGGTCCTTTCAGTGTTAAATGAGATTGTGTGTCTGAAACACATTGTACTGAATGCTCGTAAGGGAGCCTGCTTTCTCCCACCTCAGCTAGCTTTAACAGAACATGTAAATTATTCCCAAACCCAGCTGTACCTAAGGTCCAAGTAACCTGTTCGGTTCAGAGGAATTATATTACCGTTGCATAGGCTGTATGCCCGTTCTCACTTTCCAGAGCCCTAGGTCCCGGTAACCTGAAAGGCAATCAGCATAGCCAAGCAACTAACCTCACCTAGTCAGACTATACCTAATTATCTAAGGCTCCAGATGGCAGCAAGAGAAAGCTGTGAGGCTGGAGAGC